TTAAACCTAATATTTACTTTTTAACTTCCATATTCAACCTTCTTTTTTCTTTTATACCTAATTCTTTTCTTTCTCTCCTAACTCTCTTTTTATTCAACCTCATACCTAACTCTTCTCTTCCTTTTCTCATTCTCACTTTACCCAATACTTATTTCTCTCTCTTTTCTTTATACTCAACTCTTCACTTTTTTCTTCCTCCACTGCCAAATTTTCTAGACAAGAACTTAACAAAAAAATTAGATTCACTGTGTAGAAGCTTTAAGTTGACAATTAATGGGTGATACAAATTAGTTTAGACAAGACAAAACATATTTGAAGTATCGATAAAATTTGAACTATAAATCATAAAGCATGCTTTTACTTTGAGAGCATCAGATGCTCTCTCTTTGTTAATAATACTTTGATAATTAGATTAGAAAATAATAAAATTATTCTATATTTTTTATAAAATATATAATAATTATTTAAAAAATGTTAAAAATTTTCTATTTAAAATATTTTATATTTTTAACAATAAATAACGATTATTCATTATAATAAATTTGAAAGGCTGCTGTAGCTTTGTTGGGGAGCTAGGCATAAGTGCCTACCTACCTAGAGATAAGGGCTATTATAATATAATATGATTGAATAAAAAAAGTTTTAAGTTTTTGTAATTATTTTAGCCCTCCATAACTGGACCTAATTTATTAGACTTGACCCGCCACGATTTAATTGCTTAAATTCTTTATTAGGCTAAGGAGTCATTCAAGATTCAACAAAACATAACAACTTACATCTTACGGTGATTTATATGTATCAAAATAGAAAAAACAAGTTATTAACTCATATTTTATGTCATGTTAAGACTCGGAAAATATTTAATGGTTAGAAGACTTTGTTTCAAATTACGATGATCTCATGGTTATACTTAATATTAGAGCTGTGACTTGTCTGCATCCAAGTCTAATAAAAATAAATGAATAAATATTCAGATAATAATTTAAAAATAAAAAAAATATTTGTCAAAAGTATAATTGATAAATGTTTTTTAAATAATTTTCAATATAATTAAACATATTTTAAAAAAATCATTTTCATTTCTTAACAAGTGATATAACAATACCTTAAATAAAATACCTCTTATTAGATAATCTGGTTTTTCTCGTACTATTAATTCTTTTATTAATATATATTAACTTGACTATGAAGGTGCTTTCATAAGTAACTCTCATCTTTTACCTTCTAATCTGAAATGGATCTTCAATGTATATAATGTTAAATTATTTGGTGAGTTTATATAAAATTTATGATATAGTGGCAGTATTTCTATAGCAGGGAAAGAGAGAAACATGAGAAGTGATCTCATAAACTGGCCACAGATATGATGCAAATACAAATTGAGAAGCTCACTCCCCCGTGTAATGGGTCTTGTGGTGTCCATAGAAGCCCATTCGAGTGTGACATTACGTCATTGTCACACCAGCCCAAATGCTACTGTGGGTTATCACAAATCCCATCATACCGAGTTGGCTCTCTTTTTAGTATTTTTTTTATTCTAATTTTGTGACATCAGAAATGAGTACGATGTACAAAAGTTCTTATTCAACTTTTGGGTATTTTTTCTATGATTTTGTTTGAGAATTTGAAGAAAAAGAGAAAAAAAAAATATTTGAAAGGGGAAGGAGGAGAGGGAAAGAGAGAAGAAGGAAAATTGAAATTCTCTTTTATTTGAATATTTAATATGGAGAGAAAAAAGTAATAAAGAGTTAATAATATAAATGATATTATTGTTATTTATATCTTTTATTTATATTTTTTTATTTTTTAAAAATATAAAAATTAAATTTTTTCCCTTTAAAAATTAATATTTCTATTTTTTATAATTTTTTAAAATATTACTTTAAAAATTAATATATTTTTTAAAAATTAATTTATTGTTATTTTTTAATTTTTTTAAAAAAATACACAAATTATATATTTTTCTTCCTTAAAAATTAATATTTTTAAAATTAATATTTCTATTTTTTTAAAAAAAATTTCACTCTAAAAATTAACATTTTTAAAAAAAAAATAATTTTTTACTAATTTTTTCTTTAAAATTAACATCACATTTTGTTAGAAGGGATTGAGAACAAAGAAAGAATAAATTAATCATTCTAAAAATCTCTTCAAAAAACTCCTAAGGAACTCATGAAATTAAATTTAAAAGGATTTTGAAGAGTTTAGAAAAAATTCTCTAACCCTCACTTTTAAATTAATTAATTTACAAATAAAAATTAAACTCCACTAACCTCTCCTCTTTCCTCCTAAATACAACTCTCAAACAAAACCTAGAAGTGTTAATTTTTTAACATATATTGCAACAAAATTTTATACATGTAATTTTTACTTTAATTATAAAATAGATAATATGACTAAAGTTAGTTTTTATATTTTAAATTAAAATTTTTAATATATAAAATTAAGATTTGTTAATTGCTTAAATTTTTATTATTAAAAGATATTAAAATTAATTAATAGAACAATAAATTATCACATTTAAGTGATATATATAACAATAAAAGTTTATTCCTAATAAAAAATAACGTCATTTTGATATGTGTAAAAATAGTTTATTTTTGTCCTTTTAATTTTTTAAAATTTTAAAACATACACTTACTTTCTATTAATTTGACCAAACCTCTAATAAGTTATTTGAATATGTAATGTTGCATCTTTCAATATGAGAATGATAACTTCTCACTCACATGTGTTTTCTCCATCTTTTTCATCTTTACCTCTCTCTCATTTCCACTTCCACAGCTTTCCAACTCTTCATTTTCATTGATTTCAATTTTTTGAAAATGGTTTATCTTTTTTTAATTGAGTGTAAAAGCAGCAAGAATTAATCATTTTAGAAATCTTGAATACCATTGTTGGTGTGGCTGGAGGAAATACATAGGAGTGAGAGATTATATTTTAATATGTGAAGGTGAAAGATTAGATACTAGAGTAGCTTATGAAAAGATTGTTAGAGTTGTTAGAAAGTGAACACTATTATTATAGTACCGGAAGAAAAGAAAGAAAAAAAAAACTATAGAAGAAAATGAACAGAAGAAAGAACAAAAAAAAGGAAATATTATTACTTAATAACATCAAAAGTTAAACAAAAAAAATAAACTATATTTAAAATATTATTTTTTGTCAAAAATGGACTTTCATATTATATTTAATGTGATATATTATCATTCTTTTATTCAATTTTAATATTTTTTATGATAAAGATTAAATTAATTAGTGATCGTTAATATTAAAGACTAATATTTAAAATTTTAATTTTAAGAAATTAATTTAAATGATACTATATATTTTAAAGACTAAAATAAATATTTACTCAATAATAAATAGTTAGAAATAATATTGATTCTGCAAAGAATAAATTAATGATTTTTTTTTATCGGAAGCTAATTTATTTTGCATGTTGACAATTATTAACCTTAATTCCATTTCCTATACAAGAATCTAAATTTGTCTAGCCTTAAAGATATAGTTAAACTTTAATAATTAAAAAATATGTAAATATTTTAGAAAAATATATTATATACAGCTACTTTTATAAATTATTAATAATTTTTCTATCATAAGAAATAAAAATTAAGTTTTATATACATATATATGAATATATTTATTCATTTAATATATAAGTTATTAATTCAATAACTGAATTATTCTATTATAATTATTTTTTATTAATTTTAATAAATTTTTAAATGACAAAGGTAGTATAATGTAATTATTATTCAAATATCACGAAAAATATTACCAAAAAGTTATCTCAGATATGTAATAAAAAATTGTAAGCGTTTGAATTTCTGTCTTATACATAATATATATATAAAAGAGTTATATGATTTTAATTTGTTTAAAGTAATAAGTTAAGAAAAAATGAACTTGTGATATTAATTTTTTTAACATATATAACATAACACAATAAAAAGTTGTGTAAAACACATTTTTATTAAAAAAAAAATATAGCATTCAATAGTATCGATGCAACTCATTGCATTGTATTTTATAATTACTAATATATGTTATTATATGTAATTTCTAATCTTTTATAATGTTGCAGTAGTTAAAAAAAGAAGAAGTACAAGCTTAGATAATAAATTGAAAAATAAAACTTAAAATACAAACCCATGAAAAAAAATGTAAGTCACAACTGGAATAAAACTAGTTGAACTTAAAAAATAGTATTAAGCAATAGAGTTTTACATTAATGACCTAGCAATAAATTAAAAGGTATATAATCAAGATTATCATAACTTTAAATTATCTAAAGTATTTTAGAGAAATAAGTTTAAAGATCCACGCTCTCCCTCAAACAAAGATCGACTCATACTAAACATGAATAACATTTCTTCCCAACGGACAATTTTAGATGAGGTAGTAAAAGATAAACAATTAGGATTTTCACTAATAGTAAGTTAACCCAAAGTTAATAAAAAGATTAATAGGGATGAAACAAAGTTGAAAATACCGATTCATAAGTTAAAGATCGGTATATGAACCCTTTTATTTTTATTGTGGAAAAAAAACGTTCTCTTTAGTGTGAAGGAGAAAATTAAGAACATTGTTACTCATTTAAATGAAGTAAGTACCATTATACTAATATGGTAATCTTACGGATCGTCCAGCTTCTAGTAGATCTCGATCATAAATTCACAAATCAAGTTTTTATTAAAATATTCATGGTTTCTTTTTCCAACGTCAAGATGGGTTTATAACTTGTGTATTTTAGGTCGTTACTACGATGTTCTTTGAACTTAAGACAGTTCCTAGCCATTTAATGGTTTTCACAAAGGTCAGAAAGAGACGCCACGTGCATGAAACTGCTATTTTATTCACATAACCAATAATAACAAGTTAGAAATACAAATATATTGCTCAATTTTTATTTATTTTTTATATATTTTTCTAAGGAATTGTTTTCCGTTTGATTTTTATAACGGTAAACGACGTGTCCTCTAGCCTCTTTAAGCTCATAATGATGGAGAATTCTTGAGGTTGAGATTGATTCCAATGTCAAGGCCATTATAAGCAAGTGGAGCATACATCCATAGATCATCGGAACTTAGAAGCTACAAAAGAGAAAAAAAGAGTTATAATTTGATTGTATTATGTTGATGTTACTAAATCTTTCTGAAAAAAAAAAAAAAAACAATGATTTTCAATTTTATGCAACCGGTGTACATACCTTAATCTGGAGCTGCAAAAATTTCACATAATTGACTGCTTCTTCAAGCATTGTACTTATATCAACCTGTATTACACGAACATCCATATTGATCATGAATTTGGCTTAGAGATATGATAATTCATATAAAAGTCCATAAAGATAAAATTATATCATTACTTATTTTATTTTTAAAAAAAACACATGCAAAAAGTTATGAGTCATTTAGTCTCTTTATAGTTTTGTATGAGTTGTAAAATAAATTTTGTAAAAATATAATTTATCTTTAGCCTGTGAACCCACCACCACCAACCCCAATACTAAAAGAATCACACCAACATCACTTACCTTTGTTCCGTTTGGGACAAGATTCTGTAGGATTCTTAGTCGCTCATTTATTCTCTCTCTTCTTTTCTGAAAGATTCATGAATAGTAATTTATAAGTATCACATGAAAACTATACTATGCAAGCAAATCACATAATGAAAAAGATGAGTATGAAGTAATTAATTATATACCCTTGCATATAGACTTTGAGGATCTGTTGCTGATCCCCTACTGGCTCTTGTCTTCCCATTCGAGTTTAAAGCAGATTTAGATCCTGAAGTAGCTCCTCCACTATTTTCTATAGAAGCATTATCATCCTCTGACATGTTACTACAAGAGCTTTGTCCATCTGATCCTACATTAATCTCTTCTGCTTCCTCCCCATTGCTGGCAAGTTTCTGGTTCTTCTTGGACCGTGCATTTTTCATGCATCCTTGCCCCTGATTGTGAAACACAACAGACTGTCACAAATTTCCACTTTTAATGTAGATTAAACAAAGGAGTGATACACTAAATTAATTAGCACCTAAAATTTTAAATTGTGATCAGTCTAGTCCTTGAAAAATATCATTTTAATCTTAAAAATTATTGAATGTTAGTTATTTTAGTCTTGATTTTTATGATTTTAAGGACTAAAATAATTGACATTGGAATAAAATAATCATCATTTGATAATTTTAGGAATAAAACCAATTTTAGAAATTTGAAATTGAATTGATCCATTCTTTTAAGTTTAGGAACTAATTTAGTGTATTATTGTCAATAAAGTTAATAAATTAGAGAAAAAATTAACTTACATCTTTTGAAACACGAGGCTTTTTCTTGTGATTCTCAGGTGTGTTGTTCATTTTATCTTCAGCAGGCACATCAAGCTTCCTTTTGAGCTGCAGCTGCTTGGTTGGAAAAACAATTGGTTCCATTTGAGTGTGATCAGAATTCTCTAATCTCTGATCACTTCCCACGTCTTCACTCAACTTAACACTCTCTTCTAATACATCAATGTTACTAAGCGAAGGGAGAAAAGGGACAAAATTTTTCTCATCCATGCAAAAGTCCATGGAGTATGCACAGTTATTATTTTCTAGAACATGATCAGGGTAACTAAAATAATAGTTTGCATGACCCGGATTGGCAATGAAGACAGTGTCACCACTACAATTGCTACTGTAACTACTTTCTTGAGAAACATATTGCGAATTTGAGTTATGAGCATCTAAAGAATAAAACATACGCTCATTTTCACCAGCTTCAGGAGCAAAACAAAATGTGGGTTGTGTTTCAAATTCATCACCATGTTCTCCTAGCAAAAGTGGACTTTGAGCAAGAAATTGTGGGGTGTAATCATCATGCTCCTCACTGGCAAACATTCTGCGGAAGCAATCCCACTCACCTTCAGGAAAAGCTCCTACAGGTTCCATTTGTATTATTTGTGCTTAGAAAAGAAAAGGGGTGTTTTGTTGTGTGGTCTAATGCCACAGCAAAGAGAAGCTAATTAAATGTTTGCTTGCCATAAGCAAAAGCTATAGACACATTTATACCCAATCCCAAGAATAATGTTACTATAAGCATTGACTTCATTTGTAAATAGCATTTTTAAATCGTAATTATTGTGTCATGGATGGGTCCTAATTCTCTGTAACTGAACTCAGGAGTCCACTGAGGGGCTGATACAAAGCAAAAGACAACTCATATGGGACCAAGTTCATGCGTGATAATTTAGAATAATACAATTCTTCAATGGCTTTTAAACACCCTAGACTTAATTAAATTGTCCTCAAAATGGCAGAGAGGGATCTTAGTGTAATCATTGAGAGGTGACTAACTGTGATTAATAAGTGTCTTAATTAAATGTGATAGTGATGTTGTTAGAAGTTAGAACTAGAGAGCTTAGCATGCGCGTTTTTGATACTCCATGTATGAACTATATTAAACAACGAACGTGGGAGTCTCCATGTATGAATAATATATAATAAACAAAAAGGAATTCTGTCAGGAAATAAAAAAAAATTAAGGTCAAGGACGGCCACATCGTGGGATGAATCTCACATTCTTTAAAGTACTTTATGAACAGACAGAACAACCGTGGACCTCGCTCATTGTCTCCTTGGTGCAACAAACAAGTTCACCATTGCTTCAAACTCCTCTATATGCAGTGTCTACCAGTAACAGATAACCTATATTATATTATATATATAAAATGAATTTTACTTTTTACTTTTTTTTTCTTTATGCATGCATTATGTATTTCAAAAATACATTCAATGATTCCCACATGTTATTTATTATACATTTTTAATAATTTTAACTTTTAAGATTGAATATAATAATATAAAAATAATATTTTTATTAAAAATGTTTATTATAGTTTTATATACTGTTTTGATAATATTTTTAGTAAAAATTTACTATTTTTAAATATTTAAACCTAACTCTAAAAATTAAAGTAATACTATTTTTCGAAGCAATTGTTTAACCGTATTCGAGACTTTATACTGTAATATCTCAGATAATGTTCTCTAGCTAAGCTGTAGGGCACTTAGGTGTCTACACTTCTCATAATGGTTAAGATAACCCCAATACACAAATTCCACCCTAACCAAATGTTATCGATACAACTTAAAAATCCGAAGTAGTAACATGTATTCTAGAAGCTGGAAAGCAGGGTTATATTTTGATGTGCACCTCAAATGCAAACTCATTTTCATCCACTATTAACAGTTGGACAAATTTATGATTATATATTGTTTAAATGCAAATTATCGGTTATAAACAAAAATTTGAATAAAGCTAAAAATAAATAGTTTTCCTTCGGAGTAATGATTTACAAATTTATAGTCCAAATATGCTACCTTCCCTAAGTACAGAAACACGCAAGGCAAAACCTATTTGTGTTATTACCCTGTTAAGGGGGTATACCAGTTGACATCCAATATACAATTAAACTTTTTTTATGGTATGACTAATTTCTCAACGGTGAAGCCTGCAACAGAATGAAGTATTTGCACAGACACTGTGACACTTGAGTTAGACCTGATGACGCCTGAGTTAGAAAGAGTTCGGATAGAGTAATAATATAAGAATTTTTTCATAGTTTATTAAGAGAAAAAATATATGTATTTTCTATTTTCACTTCACAAAATCCATGTCTTTCTTGCTTATAATGAACTGTCCAATAAACAAGAATAATTTTATTAACTTATTCTTTTGAATGCAATGCTTAACACAATTTTTATTATTGATTATTTTTTTAAAAGTAAATATTTTTAAAAATAAATCAATTTATAAGACAAGTGTTATGACTTCTTAAAAAAAAAAAAGACCAATCAGAAAGAATGTGTTCAAAAGAATGTGTTGTTGGCATTTTTCATCTAATAAATGAATAATTTTTTTTATCATGAATTTCGTTAAAAATTTAAATGTAATATATTATTATCAATAAAAATATATTTATTATATTAAATTCAAAAAATTAATATAAATAATTTTAAAATTAAATTATTATTATTATTATCTGCTTAAACTCATTTCTAAATAACGATGTTAATATTATACCTAATCAACCTAGACCTTTAGTTCGGAGCCATGTAACTGTTTGTTTCGTTGAATTTTTTTAATAATTAATTACATAGAATAAGTTTTATATTTGGTTATAATAGGTGAACTTTTAAAAAAAAATATTTTATTTGGATTGTATAAGAAATACTTTTCTATGAAAAAATTACAGAAGATGATTTAAAGTTATGCGTAATATTTAATTTTGTATTTAAAATAATTTATTATTAAATAATATTTAATTAGAAAATAAATTGATAACTTATAACAAATATTAGATCATTTAAAAAAAATATTATACGTATAATTGATGATTGTGATAATTGATTATATATATTTGAATATTAGATGAAAAGTGATTTTAAAATAATTATTATATTTAAATTGTATAAAATAATTACTATTTTTAGGTTAAAATTATTAAAAAGTATATAAAATTATATGTAATAGTTATATTTTATTTAAAATAGTTAAATTATTAAAAAAAAACAAGTTAATAAATTTTAATAATTAGCTCCAAAATTGTAATCAAATACGCTATTTCATTTATAAAAAAATGTAACCAAATATTATAAGTTAATTTTCTAAAATCATTCAATGAAAAATTAAAAAAATATTTTTTCAGTAATTTTTCACATAATCAACAAAAATAATCTCATACATACCAGTACTATTGTACATATTTAGTGAGTTGAAAAAATAGATTATTTTATTAATAAATTATTGTGGTAATTAATTGTATGAAATACATTCTGTGTTTAGATATATGTTAGATGAAAATTCATTTTAAAATAATCTATTGAGTTCAAATTTTATAAAAGAATCACTTTTAATATAAAATAAAAATATAAAATTTATATATAATAGTTAGTTTTATATTTAAACTAAACAATTAGGAAGGATACAGTGTCAAACAAGTTTACTATAAAAATAAGTTAACAGCTTTTTAATCATAAGCTCTAATTTTATTTATTCTAACTACGTTATTTCATTTATAAACAAATATTAAAAATTATAAGTTGATTACTAAAACCTACCGAACAAAATATATAATATTTTTTAAGTTCACTTTTTCACATGAACCTTAAAAAAAATCTAATTCAAACACATATCTAAGTATCTGTTCACACATATTTAGCCCCAGGGTTATATATGCATATATATATATATATATATATACACACATTTTAGATGTTATCATTTTCTTTTCTTTCTTTTTTTAAAAAAAAAGGAACTCTAGACTGTCTCTCTGTTGACGTTTAAGACTAACTTCCCTTGCTAGTTCAACTAAAATAGTTTAGTTTGGCGCCAGAACAAGCCTGAATAACCTAAAATGTGTGATGTGAACCAACATAATATTCTTTATGGGCATTTCCAATTAAGGATGGAATGGTAGGTCTATGTTATATCAAACTTATGTATTAAATAAGTCATGTTAAAGTTTTTTAGAAAAATTATTTAATAAAAAAGTCATGGTTTGAATGAACCATAAAAAAATTTTTAAATTCTAATAGGTTAGTTAATAATAATAATATTGTATATTTATTGTATTTAAAAAAATAATATAAATATAATAAGTTATTGAACTTAAACTTATATATAAATATAATAATTTACATATAAGTTTAAGTTCAATAACTTATACAGAAATAAACTTTTATGACAATTTAAAAATATTTTACTATAAAGTAGACTTTTAAATAGCCCTACAGTTAAGCTAGACTTTAAAAAAAAGAAGGAATTTTTAAAAATAGCATACCAAACTTCAAATATTACCGATAACACAAGAGTAGATCAAACTTAAGTTACGAAATTTAAGTCTATTCCACCCATTTATTATCATTCATTTTTACGAATAAGCAGGAATTTAGCTTTGACACCTCAAATGCAAACTCATTTTCAACTATAAATAATATGTTTCTGTTTGGAGTAAGAAAAATTTTTTAAGTTAAAAATCATGTTGAAGGAAGTTACATTTTGACAAAATGTTGAGGATCAGGAAGGAGCCTAAAAATAGATCTAAACTTGAGAGATATTGGAAAGTTATCCAAGACCTTTTAGTTTTATATCAAAAAAGACACATTTTGAGCTACTTTAGAGGTTTTTGTCACCTTGTCAATTTTTCTCTAAAACTGCTCGAAAAATAAGACTGACAATAAAATATTCCAAGTTTACAAAACTGAAGGCTTTTTTTGAGGAGTTTTCAAGTCCTTGACACCAAAAACAGCTAAAAAAATAGAAAGTGGTTAATAAATATTCTAAGTCTGCCAGCTTAGTTGAGCTCCAAAGTCCCTCCAGAATTGCTCGAAAAACAGAAATGAGCAAAGAAAATATTCTAAGTCCACAAGACCAAGACAAACTCTCAAAACTCCAACATTAGTCGAAAAGAGAAGTCAAGGAGAAATTATTTTAAGGCCATAACACTAAATGAGCCTTTTAGATTTCTCGCAGAAACACTCGAAAGATAGAAAAACAAATGTCTTGATAGGTCAAGTCATTGCAAAATCCAAAAGCGGTTACCAACAGTCATCAACATTCATCTCTATGCAAAGGAGATCGTGGGCGATAACGGTTACAAAAGAAGCCCCAACCAACAGTATGATTACAAGCAATCGTGAATAATGAGTATCAAAAGTTGAAAGTAGTTACTGAGAAGTGGCCGCAAAAGGAGGAGAATGGTGGTGATCCTCTTGCCTATAAATACTCCAAAGCGTCATTTTATAGTGGACGACTTTTTGCGCCCTGACACTGCACCTAAAACCTCAGCATGTTGAAACCCTGCACCGCGCCAGATACCAGCTACAAGGAGACTCACGGTGGCCGCTGTTCGTTGTTGTGAGGAGTCGTACGTTTACATTCCTGCACA